ACACATATCACTAGTGATATGTGTGCGGGGATACACATATCACGGGGATACACATATCACTGTGACAGCGTCATTCGTCAAAACTTTGTCACGCCACAGGTTGCGTGGAAACTCGTGCCACTGGCTACGTCATGCATAAAAACCTTGTCACGCCACCCTCACGAGGTCAGTTGAATATTGTATTCTTTGACTGAGAAGGTACGGCAGCTCCTTCTACGTTAGCCTTTTGTAAATTGGTACTATGCTTTGTAGTACAGTCTGTAGACGTTGCTGCAATGGCGATCCATCCCACAAAAAGGACAGTGCATGGGCTTGGATGGTTTGTTTCGCCGCTGCGACAAATCTCGCTTTCTCTAGTGGTTTAGTNTCGGGCTTAAACGTTGCAAAACGTTAAGTTATTAGAGGGTCTTACATCTGATGAAACTAAAACTTCACAACGATTGGTAATTTCTCATTTTGGAAATTGATGACGTCACATGAAAACCGGCAGAACCGTAGAACCTTGAGGGTGCTGTAAAACTATCATTTTCATAGATAAAGTCGCGTTTTGTAGGCGTAAATTTAGTTTAGCTATGTTTCATCACAGTGTCCGACATTTGTCCGAAATGAGATAAAAAGTGTCCGAAAATTTAAAGACCGACATTTTCACGTCCAAAATTTTTGGCAAGTCAGTCATTTCCAGCACCTGGCATTGTCAACGCACTTGTTGCGTCATTCGTCAAAACTTTGTCACGCCACAGGTTGCGTGAGAAACTCGTGCCACTGGCTACGTCATACATAAAAACCTTGTCACGCCACCCTCACGAGGTCAGTTGAATAGTGTATTCTTTGACTGAACAGGTACGGCAGCTCCTTCGACGTTAGCCTTTTGTAAATTGGTACTATGCCTTGTAGTACAGTCTGTAGACGTTGCTGCAATGGCGATCCATCCCACAAAAAGGACAGTGCATGGGCTTGGATGGTTTGTTTCGCCGCTGCGACAAATCTCGCTTTCTCTAGTGGTTTAGTCTATAGCTTTGGGGTTCTTTTACCCGTGTTCATGGATTATTTTAAAGAAAGCAGGGAGACTACAGGTAAACTTCTCAATTCTGAAACAACTCTAGAGACAGCCTGTGAATTAACAGCTACATTTTATACACATCCTGCTTGTGCTGTTGCCATTGCGTAGCAAGTGCAACAGGAATGGTGTAAGCGGAGCGTACGTTTTAAACACCGGCATAAAACATGTTAACATCCAAATCAACGGTGACCTAGTTCAATTTATTCTTTTCGTAAACTCCGAACATTGCGAAAGCCAAACCTAGTTCGGCTGTCGATTCAGACGCCGATGTTATAATTTAAAATTATGCCGAGGTTCGGCACGTGAAAAGTTCAGAGCATGAATCAAAGCCGTTCAACTTTGCCTGTCCTGTCCCGGCTTACACCAAAATAAATAGTTATAAATAGACAGATTAGCATTCGACAGATAAGCATGGCATATTGACCATATTGTATCACTCAGCCGGCAACTGTAAACTCCGCGCTTAAAATCGTAAATCAGGTATGCAAATTTGTTAGGTCACGCTTGCAGACAAACAAATAATTCAAATACGGACACCCTCTGGACCGTCAGTTGTTGTCTATGATGTCACAAGTCTTACTTGTGATGTGCCACATATAGCGTCCACTGCTATATTCCGATACTTAATTACATGATATAGGTCAAAAAAGTTGAAGTATTTTCCGTTACTTTTGCTGAAAGTATTTTAAGACCTTTGACGGGGTATGAAGGTGGCCGCCATGTAGTACAGTTATGTGGTTCCTTCACAGTTGATATTTTACATCATCTTCTTTACTTTACCATGCAGCCTGGATTGGTTCAATATCAATTGCCCTGTGCTTGTTCTTTGGACCTTTTGCAAGTTCTCTCATAAATTGGCTTGGCTGCCGAGCAGTAGCCATTACTGGATGCCTGACTTGCTCAATCAGTTTAACAATAGCCTCGTTTGCTAAGAGCTTGATCATCTTGTATCTTACTTTTGGAGTTCTTGGTATTGGTGCAAGCTGCGTTTTTGTCTCAAGTTTAGGAATCGTTCCGAGATGTTTTGACAAACGAAAATCAATTGCGATTGGAATCGCCTCAACCGGTCAAGGTGTGGGTACAATGATTCTTAGCCAAGTTCTTCAATCTCTCGTGAACGCTTTCAGCTGGAGAAACGCATTACGGACTGTCGCAGGTGGTTTGGTCATAAACGGCTTGCTTGGTCTCTTGTACAATCCAGTGACAGAACATGTAAGCAGCGGTGAGTTACTGTCAAGGAAAGAGGAAAAACGGGAATCCAAACGCTTCACATTCCATTTCTCAGTGTGGAAGCTTCCTCGTTTTCTTGTGCTGGCCGTCACTGGGTTTTTCTTTCAGCTAAGTCGCTCCACCATGTACGTGCATTTGGTAAGTAGCTTTCAGTAGTCGTCGTTTCCTATTGGAACTCATACATTTGTACTTTACTTTAATTTTGCAAGCTAGAGATTTGGATCGGCTAGTAGTTGGCGAGGGGTGAAGCTACTTCTAAGCTATCAAAGTCGATAAAAACCAGTTACAAGCAGTGTGCTTGCTTTACTAAGTATTTGGAGGGAAAAGGAGCAAAGTTGACCTAACTTGCTCTGTTGCTGGCATGAAGTGACTGAACATGTTGCCAAGTTGTCTCGGTCTAGACAACAAGAGAATCGGAAGATTTTATACCTGATGACCCTTTTTATTAGCCTTAATCAGTACTTTGTTGTTATTTTAATAAGTTTTCATTAATTGTATATTGATGTAAATAAGTTCTTAAAATCTCACTTGGGAGCTAGAGAAACCAGGAGAAACTAATACATAGTATTGTATTGTGCCTGTTCAAGAGCCGAGTTGCCAGGGCGAGAACAAGAGAGATCCTGTCAACGAGTTTGCGGCAGTTCTTTACATCTGACCAGGATAACAATGTTGTTAAGGGCTCAGTACTCTACAACAGAAGGAAAGTGTGCGGGTATGGGGCGAATGGTGATCTGTATAGGAATGAAACAGGAACACAGCTGAGAAGATGGCACCAAACGGAGTCCGCTGGCGGAGCATTGTTGACGCCCTTTGCTCCACTAGGAGCCTAAAGGATTAAGTCAGTCAGTCACAGGAATGAAACTGTAGTCAGATATAATGAAGATACCAATTGCATGGAAAGACTGGATGTGATTGGCCAATATGACATAAAATAAATTGTTTTATTACACGGGAGCATGAAATAGACTTTGAACGCAGCATCAATGCTTTGTTCTGGAGACCTCACCTTCCCACCAGTAATCTTCCATTTTGACGTTGACTGTACGATGCATTTTGTTTTTCAGGTCAAATACTCTGAAGACCGTGGAATGTCTTCTGATGCGTCGGCTAGACTTATTCTCTTTCTGGGAATCAATGTTGTTCTTGGTCGCTTCGCAGGTGGTTTTCTGTGTTCCATCAAAAGGTTGGACAACTTGTACGTCTTACAGAGCATGTTGCTGTTAAACGGTGTTTCAACAATACTCCTTACTTTGGCACAGAAGTACGAAGCGCTTGTCGCCTACTCCGTTGTATTTGGTTTTGGTGACGGGGTAATGGCCTCAGTTTTTAATATCCTAATTCTGACATGCGTAGATCCTTCAAGAGCTGCGTCATCGTTTGGATACTTTCTGTTAATTGCATCCGTGACGTCACTGGCTGGACCTCCAATAGCAGGTGAGTTGATGTTATTCCTAGGATCTTTCTTGAAAGGAATGAGGACAGTCGAATACCTTGTGTTAAAAAGATTGTATCGCAAGTCAAAACAGCGCTGCATATTGACACGGGGGCATGTGAAAGGGTCGTTATTTTTATACCCTTTTCGAGACCTCTCATCCGAAAATTAAGAAATTAAGTTAAACATCCAAGTGATCACATACCAAGAACGTACAACGATTTCTTTTACGTCAAGTTGAAAAAGTAGTGACAGCACATTAAGGCTACCTTTACACAAGTGGTTAATTTACGGGTCATGACGAATCCTGGATGTTTTCTGAGCTGGATTCATTTTACCGTTTAGGCACTGGTCGGTTCATAATCCGAAATAAAAACTTTCCGGCAAAAGATATAACCTCCCTGGCTCCCAGTTGGGGAACTGAAAATGATGATAATGACTATTGATTATGATTATTATTATTACTATAAAGACAACGGCATCATCTTCATCTTTAAAACTGTTTACCCTTGTTCAAATTAGAGCCCTTGGAGTGATTGGTGGTTTTTCAAATCCATCTAGTGCCTATTTTGTCTTTTTTTTTTTCTCGTTCAAACATCCTCCATTTAGCTCGTGATTTCCAAGCTCGGTACTAGTTAGATACTGAGAAACAGTATTTAGAATCTAATAAACTCCGCTTGGTTCATCAATGAAAGTAGTTCATTAATCTAATAGACTGACTTCACCATTTCATTTGTCAGGTCTGACCGCTGACAAACTTGGATCATACGGGCCCGCATTCTACATGGTCGGGGGTGCATTTGCTGCGGCTGCGTTAACTCCAAGTATATTGTTCTGTGTTAAAAATAAGGAGATAAAGAAGAAAGAATTACTTCCAAGTAACAAAGAAAACACGGAAGATGCTCAAGAATTTAAAGAGCGGAACCTTCACTATGAACTTCGTGTGGACAAACCTTCGAAAATAACACATAATTTTAGGAAACCAGTCGTACTTGGTCATGAACTCTTTGTTTCCACAGTATAAATATTCAAACCCGGCATTTAATGAGCTTGTCACGCACTTTTGCGCGAATTTTCTTCGCCGTTTTCTGGATGGGTCACGCAAATGCTTCCCAATATATTAACAATTTGACGGTTATTTGATTTGGTTAGGGTTTTTTTTTTCATAAGTTTCAGGCTACTTATTCCTACTCAAAGGGAGTATTTAAGAAATCTACATTGTTTTCCGTCATTGTTCATCGGGACTTCGGCATGGTGTCCCCAGTGCTACCGAGAGAGCTGGTCTGATCTCATCCCTCTCTTTAGATGAGAGTAAGGCATGGAATTCTAGCTTTGCCAGACAATCTAAGATCAATGACAAAAAAGGGCCATTTAAAATTCAGAAAGGAGAGTCAAAATTGTAGTGATTCTCATTATTTTACGATTTATCTTTGGAATTACATGTATCTCTTCGTGTATTTATTAATTAATCAATGAATTTATTAATTTATTAATTTATTTTCTCGGTCTATTAGCAGTACAAGCTGGAGGCCTAGCAATCCTTATGTAAAGCCAAGAATAAATAAAGTTTATTAATAAGTATTTATCTATCTCTATTAGTTGCGCGCAAGACGGAGACGCCTTTACAAGCTGGCGTAAAATGTCAAAGGTGCACAACGTCCAGTATAAGATTGTTGCAACATTGGTCTTGCATTATGCGAACGCGTTTCCGATAAACAAATCTCAGTTTTCATGAGTTGTCGGGCAGCATTTTCGCTGATTTTAACTTATATAACAGTGTGTCTGAAACTATCTTTACTCGCAAAGTTTTCAGGATCCACACAATAGAATAACGTAACTGAACATCTGGAAACTAAACTTACACTCTGAACAATCTATCATGTTACAGTCTGCAAGCAGTGTCATGTTTACGTTGCAGGTGTTCGCAGTGAAGTCACGAGATTTCGAATCAGAAGGCGAAGACAACAAGGCAGGATACTTTCTTGTGCCTCTTTCTGCAACCCCGAAAGGGGAGTACTTCCTTATATGGGCTATATTAGTACGTGCGGCCCCAAAGGGTATGGTTTTTCAGCCATTTTGGTCATCAGTTGGGTATCGATTTTGGCCATTTTGGTCATAAATAAAGTGTGGTTTTTGCACTCTAGTCTTGAACTGGGTACGTTCTTTCAAAGAAGCTACTTTTTCATCAATATCGATAACACCAACAAAGGCCCTTCATAAATTATGTTTAGGGCAACTGTGCCAGCTGCAACGGTCATAAATAGGGTATCGAATTTTTGGTCAAATCATGATAACTAGGGTAGGGAAAATCGCAGATTTTGGTCAGAAATAGGGTTACGGTTTTGAGAAACGGGCCGCACAACCCACCCATTTTTTTCTGGGAGTACC